ATGGGCAAACCAAGCCACAACATGTGTGTTGTCTTAGTCGCCCTCTTCTTCCTCATGGCTTGAAGAGGGTCTGTGAGTATATAGGAAGAGACTACAAAACTCCTATGGGCGAAAATGAACAGTATTTTCTCACATAGCCTCGGCGCCGTCTGATTTTTTCGGACGGCATAGATTAAAGACCGCCACGAACAAAGCATGTCCGTGGCGGTTCGTCACGAATGTAGCATGTCCGTAATGGGGGCGAAACACTGTAGTAATTAGCCTAGAGGCATTTTTAAGACTTTTCCATATATATATATATCTCAGTGTAGGAAAAATCGAACCGGAATGTTTAACCGGACATGGGGTCAAAAGCGGTTACTTAGTTTTAATCGGTAAACCGGCTAGTTGAACCGGCCTCATTGGGTAAGTCTCAGGTGGTCAACAAAGTGTTAAAAAAATAAAAAAATACAAAAATAAAAAAATATGAAAAGTATATTTAAAGCATGATTAAACAAAGCACATCCAAATGAACTTGAAAATTAATGAAAAACATGGATTTTAAAGAATCGATTTGTGCTCAAGGGTATTTTTACAATTTTCCAAAAAAATGATGGGAAAATGTAAAAATAAGTATTAATGTCCAAAACAATTTTCAATCTTTGCCAAAATGATGACAAACATTACAAAATGCATTACAAACAAAATTCCTTATTTTTTGGGATTTTATGTAATTTTTCTTGGATTTTTTTAAAATACCGCTCCGGTTCACCAAAACCGGCCGAAACTGAAACTGGCCAATGGCCGGTTCTGATCTAATCAGGCGGTTTCGATTTGAACCGCTCGATTTTTCCTACACTTATCTATATATATATATATATATATGTCAAAATGTTTTGTAGAAAAATAATTAAAAATAAAAATAGTGTAGAGGTGTGACATTGTGATTGGGGTCATGTCAGTTATTCTTTCAGAATGGATAGTTGGATAGGGGGAAGTATATAAGTTTTATACATTAGGGAAAGTATAGAAAGCTTGCCCATATATATATATATATTATATATTTTTTGAACACCCACACACATATCTAGGCCTTTGTACCTTACATCAAAATTTATGAGTTTATATCATTTATACAAAGAGTCACTTATCAAAAACAAAAGCTTGAGCTTTCCTTGTTTACTTAAGACGATCTTATAATGATACAAGGCATATATTGTTTTTTTGGGGTAATTCAGTGTACCCGTTTTTCAAGTAGATTAGGAGTTTGCTTTTTGAAGGTATCAGTGGGGTGGTGTTAGTGGTGGGAATGGAAACCACAATGTGGTGACTAGGGTGTGGGGTGCTACCACCACGACCCTATAGATAAGCCTATGAACAAGGAAATACAAACGTAGTACCTATATTGTATATAATAGAGCACATTAAATTGAGTTTCCTACTTGAAGTGAGGATAATATAATATGATATAATATAATATAAAATAATGCATAATTGTGTGCTTTTTGTATATTGTACACATAATTGAACAAGCTCAAGTTGAGTTTGTCAAGCTTGAGCTTGATTTATTTGATAATCAACTTGTAGGCTTGCCTTGGCTTGGCTAGACCTGCTGAAAAATATTGCTCAAACTTGACTCATAATTAGCCGTGCTGTGCCAGCTCACGTGCTTTGCTTGTTTGCAGCCCCTATTTGCTTTATGGGCATTATCTTATGCAGATCAACAGAACTTTTCTTAATATTATTCTTATTTTGTGAATTTTGGATGCATTGATTGCACTGTTTCATATTAATTGTCTACCTCCTGATTGTCTGATATGTTCTGATTGCCAAGCTTTTGCCATTATTGCAATTCTCAGCTCCTTTTCACTAATACTGTGATTCTCTATTGCATGAGCAGGACTCATTCACTCGTTGTTTCAAGTCAAATCCTCCAGAACCTTGGAACTGGAATGTGTATTTGTTCCCACTATGGTGCTTGGGAGTGCTAACACGTTATGTGGTTCTTTTCCCTCTGAGGTGAGCAAAGCTAGCTTATCATTTTAGAGCGTTGGATGGGCTTGTGACAAGTTTTTCTATATTCAACCTCAATTCTTGGCTTGTTACACATCTTGTTTTTCCTTTTTTCCCCTCTAAAATTAACTTAGTTCCCGTTATTGTATGATGCTTACAAGTATGTCCCAAATTTTTTTGGGGAGAATAACAAGAATTGGCTGTTGGGTGTGCCTTCTATATAAAGTTGTGCTGAAAGGTATGAGAATTATGGGGAGAAGTGGTGATAGACTCTTGATTCTCTACCAACTCATTCCTTGCAAGAGTTTGGTCTAGTTTGTTTGCTTCACGTCATGTGTTGGAATTGTGCGATCAGATTCGGTCCAAAGAGCGAACCAGAAAGTGTTTCGTATGGTTTGATTAGCGGTTCAACGAGCCATCAAACTGGACCGTTGGAAACCGATCAAAACCCTAAAATATATTCAAAATTTGCACAAACATACATGCTTTTTCATGATAAGTCTTCACTGGTCCAAACCAATTTAGGTTTGGTTGACCTAGTTGGACTGGCTGATTTGGGTTTCTGATAACTTTGAATGCAACTTGATAATTGGTTGCCCCAGCAACTGTAGAAAATCTTCGGTCCAGCAAAAAGAGTGCAGTGTGTGGACATCAAATAATATTAGCCCAATTACAGTCAAGGTCAGTGGCCGAGAACCCCCTGAAGTACTGGCACAACGGGCCCCAGAGATAGATAGGGGCTTGATATTATCAAGTAGTTTCCTGACTGCTTAGATGGCTCGCAGAAAGGGTCTGTGATTGCATTCAAGTCATATACACCATATTGATGCTTTCAAACTTAGATGCCAAAGAAATGGTTCTTAGCATGAGAGGAGAAAGGTTGTGTGATCAGAGTTGCCCACTGCTCAAGAGTCCCTGGAGGAAAACAGCAGATGTTAATGAGGTTCATGATTGATGTCAAACAGATGTTTTATATGTACATCAGAGGAATACATCTGGTTGTTGTTCCATATTGTCCTTTTCAAAGTGGACCCTTTTTAATTTTGACTTTTCTTCTTTTCTCATCCTGTTTTCTCTCTCTTTACTTTGACAGTGAACTTCCTTATTCTTTATTTGAAAATAAGCAGGAAACTTTGATATTTACATTCTGCTAAACCTTAACAAAATCATTTATGTCTCATCTTCTTTGGTTTCATCATTGAAGTGTCTTAGCTGAAAGCCTGCAAGACTTTAAGAAGTTCTGGGTGAATAAGCTTCTGTGACTAATGCAATATATGTTTTACACTGCTTGAAATCATAGACTGACTGTTAAACATTGCCTTTTCTTCTCTACTATGAGAATCATCATTAGATATTGGGTTATGTTATCTAATATCTATGAATTGTAAACTACATTTCCGTTCTATGTTATAAGGGCTTTGTGCTGCAATGGGTTTTTTTAATTTCTTAATTTTTTTTTAATGTTGTCTAGTTTTTAGTTTGGGGTTATTGGGTTTTTAACTTTCTTTAGGGTTATTTTTGTTTTTATTGGATGTAGAGATTGGAGGGGTAGTTTGGAAGTTTATTTTATTGTTCAGAGAGGATGTGGGGGAAAGGCGATAAGGATAGTGTTTAATTTAGGTGGGGGCCTCCAAATTAAGAGAGTTACATGAGATTGAGAGAGATAAGGAGTGCTAGAAAAAGTAGGGTGGAGAGAGAGTTTTTTGTGGGTTTCCTTTTATTTCACTTTTTTATTATTTCTTTTAGTTTGTATTTAAAGGGAAGGATGTCCCTTCCCTCTTTGTGAACTTGGCCTTTTGAGATTATATAAATTGTTTTTGATCTAGTGAAGAGATCTTTGGGGTGGACTCCCTTGCATACCTTGAGAGAGGGTATATCCTCTCAGCCCTTTATTATTATTTCTATTTTAATTATTTTTTTCCCGTCTTCCCTGCATTAGTTGGATTAGAGCCAGTGGATCATTTGCCTTGAGATCCATACACCATGATACCATCCCAAACATCTACCAATCCAATTATGGAGCGTTTGGATTGATTGGATCAAATAATTAGGAGTCAACGAAGATATCATAGAAGTAATATGACAAGGTTTACAACATCTACTTAGTAGATTTCAACAAGAGGAAGAAGAATGTGAAAAGGCAAATCTCAACGCGAAAGATCTTGACAACAACCCAAAAGTGCTAGAAATTTCGAAAATTAATTATGTAGAAGACGATACGATACGCGTGTTGAGGCATGTAATTTAATTGGGCTTCTATGCTATTTATTTCCTTAGGGTTTTTTGAAATTCAATCTTGGAATAGGTTAACTTATGGTAAATTTAATTTGAGCTTATCCCTAAAATGCTTAAATCAATTTATATTTTTCCTTTTGCCAAAAAATGAGGTTGAGGAGTCTCTTTGGGTTCCACCTCCTTCAAATTAGTACCAACCTGACCCATGGGCACACGGTGAAGGCCATATTTCACTCAGGCGGGCATATGACACGACATTATAACACGCTACACAGCTAGTTGATAGCCCTGCTTGACATTGCAGCCATGCTTTTTTTTTTTTCCTTGTCTTGTTTTCTCTTTTTTGATTGGAAGTGTGGGATCAGATCAACAACCTTTAATGTGATAATAAGATTTCCAAAACACTACATGGCTCAAGCTTTTCATTGCTTTGAAAATTATTTTTTCCTTGAGAAATATTGGATGGAATTTGGTCAAGGATACTGCTATCGTTAAATAGAGGAACCAGGTACATAATTTGTTTCTGATTGCAATTGGCAGGGTTGTGCTTCTTTTTGCTGGATGGCTGATATTTCTTCCATCATTTAGTCTAGTACATTTTCTGCTAAGGAAGAATGACAAGTTAAGACGACAATTAGAGGTTAGCATCTGTAACATTTTCTTAATTGCTGCAAGCCAGAGAGACTTATGTAATGATATATGCTTGTGCTTGGGAGATGTTTGTCGTAGATGACAATGCATAGCCAACAGTTTACCAGTTATTTCACTCAAATATATTTTTCTGTCATTTGTCTTGTTGAGCACTTGAGCTTTTACAATCACATATTCTTATTTCTGTAAGCAGTTGCTCCATGTCCTGGATTTCTATGTATTCTCTTACAGGCAGATATCTTGAAGTCCTTAAGGTTCATGCTATTTAGTATATATATGTATCTTGTTCTGACCTTTGTTAGTGGTAATAATCTTTGTTGCGATCTTTCACATTCTATTTCAAAATTGAAGACCTCAGTGTTTGTTTTCATTTTGTATACTATTTTGTAAAATTTCAGGGACATATGCGTTCTTAACAGTTAACACATATGGTGCATAGGTCATATGTTTATTTCAACAAAGAAATTTGAAATTTTATGACTTAGATTTTATAATCTGAGTTGGAGCATTTCTTTTGTTTAAGATAAACTCATGACCTATTTTGTCAGCCTATGCAAGATAATGTTTAGAATGCATTGGAATATTTTCCTGAAATTTAATTACAGCTACTCTTCAAATTTTTGTTGAACCATGCTTTCAGAAACAAAATAATCCTGTGTGTGTGTGTGTGTGAGAGAGAGAGAGAGAGAGAGAGAGAGAGAGAGAGAGAGAGAGAGAGAGAGAGAGAGAGAGAGTAGTAGTAGTAGTAGTAGTAGTAGTAGTAG